CTCATCAAGACCTTTACAATACTGAATAAATTAGAACATATTAATCCAGAGTGCTTTGTTTTTTGTTAAGATAAAATGTAACACAAGCAAGGGGGCAACATCTTCAAGCTCAACAAGCCACAATGTAGGACAGAAAACAATGGCTATATCACCCATTAGGCGACCATGAGTTCGTCAACGTGCTTAAGACGTATGTGAGGTGTATTCGCCTCACAACAGAGGATCTTGGGGTTTGATCCCCAGGTGGGATTGACGGATGGGCAAGTTTACTTTCATTTATTGCTTCTGTTCACCAGACAATAAATAGATACCAGGGAGTTAGGCAACTGTTGTGGGTTGTTTCACACTGGGTAAGGTCAGTAATTGGAATAGATGCAATCTCGATAAATTTAATAGGCTTCCTGACCCGACAATGGGGAACCAGGATCTCGACCCCCATCATTAAGGGATGACTCGACTGAAGTATATAAATGGATGAAAGGGTATAACAATTAATATAAAAATTTGATTAAAATATCTCAACATAAAACTATACAAATTGCAAGAAGTTTAGATTTAGGAAAGACCTGGGCAAATACTGGTTTGAAAAGACCGTTGTTGATTTATAGAATAAATTACCGAGTAATATAACAGACGTGGCATAACTAGAGTGTTTCAAGCGCAGGTTAGACATATATATATTAATGAATTTGTGGAGAGGTAAATAGAAGTTGCCTTGTTGGCAATAAGTCTGCTACTGCCGCCTAGAGTATTATGAGCTATGTTTCGTCCCCGGGAACACTAGTAACGGGTTGAGGGAGGTAAAAGGCTGTATACAGGTGAATCTAACTCTAGTAATTAAACAATGGAAGGTCGTAGACCGTCAAAAGCTGCCATAGCATACCTTTCGGCTGGTTACTCAAACACAAATTAATTCGGTTTGGATTTAATAAACAGGTTAACAACATTAAATCTAACATTCAAGTGTTGTTATAAGTGATAAGTGGCTCCTCCAGGAGTGGGCGAGGAGGACCAGCCTCATCCAGCCCACTTGCGACCATATAAACAGGAGATACACATGTACACACACACACACATACCCACATATATACAATTATTTTAGAGATTAAAAATTATAAATGAAATTCCTTCCCTCAATTGCATTTAAAAATAAAAGAACACAAATATTTGAATTTACAAAATACAATTCTACATTCTTAAAGCACATACGGGTAAATATTTAATGAAGGTGAATGTAGTAGCTTTTCCCCCTAGTAAAAATAACAATTATAAAAATACAGAATATATACAATAAAAATTAATGAACAAATTTGTACATTATCAGTAAGCATATCTATTTTTAAAAGCTTACTTACAGGTTTAGCTGAAGTATAAGCTTGTGAACCTCTACACAATTATACTATGGGACGCAGTATAATTGATGGTGATAACCATTACACAATTATGCTCGGTAATATTGGCCTATTACCTTAGGCCAATTACACTGGATTAATCTTTGTGTTTAGATAGGAGATGCCTCGTATGGGCCAATAAGCCTTCTGCAGCCCCTATGTTTATCCCTTATGTATCCCCCCATGTTTTTCACCTTCATTGTATTATCACCTGACCTAATGTGGGTATAAAATCAACTAGTATTGTAAGATTGTTCACTTGAGAATGAACCATGGAGGTTCGAAACGTCGTGCAAATTATACAAATTATACAAGTGTAATACACTCTATAGTAAATCACTTCTTTTCTTCACCTTAAAAGTACGAAAATGAGTTTTGGAGAACTCCTATTCCAATTAAGCCCTGATGCTAAGAAAATAGTTAGAGGGATAGAAGCCCTAAACCAGAAAATAATAAATACAGAATATGCGGTCATATTCAATGAAACATGTTTGAAAGAAAACCTGCTGCCAGTATACACCAATATATATATATATATATATATATATATATATATATATATATATATATATATATATATATATATATATATATATATATATATATATATATGGATTATTTTGTAACAGGAAGGAATAACAAAATTAAGAAAAATTAGAATTCTAGCATGTGTAACATAGATGCCGTAATTTCCAGTGTGTGAAGGAGGAGCGAATACATTGAATGAATGAGGAATATGTTTAAGAATGAGAGGAAAGATCTCACTGTATTTTCCCGCCACAAGTGATGACGTCAACACATAAAAAGGAATAATACATTATTTCCATCAATCGCGGGCAAGGGGGACATATATACACCGTGAAGCGCACTCCGCTTCTCGGTGTATGGACACTTGAGAATTTACTTTAGTCTTGGACTATGTTCAGGCATAAAAGAAACTTGCTGGTTAGTCAGTAAGCAATTTGATGGCCTTAATGAACCTCCCTGCGGTTGATAGGCCTTAAGCCCAACACCAAAGCCAATCGCGAACATTTACAGTGATATACTCAGAGAGGCGTCCAGCATTTCTCGGTGTATATATAATGACAGGATAATTTAATCCTGAACTGTGTTTGTAGCTTAAAGTGTACTTGATTGATAAAGATTAAGCCACCCAAGAGGTGGCACGGGCATGAATAGCCCGTAAAAAGTGTACTTGCAGTCAATAAGCTTTAATAACCCTCATGCAGTTGACAGGACTTGAGGCCGTACCAGCCGACCAATCACGAGCGTGGTAGCGCGTGACCTCATTACCGTCTGAGCCAATCAGGTGTCAGTCACGGTGGCGTCGGAGGAAGGGCGGGAACGAAGACCAGGGCGGTCGGAGACGATTTTTATTTTCCTGCTAGGAGAGGCTACCGTGATGCATCTGGCCCGAGTAATGGGCCATGAAGCCAGGAAGGGTCAGTAAACCTCTGTGAGTATTAAAATCCGTCTGTCACTGTGTAGTTTTGTAGTTATAGCAGGATGTCTTAAGGGCGGTGTCGCCTGGAGAGGCAGCCATCTTGGATGGCGCTGATTTGGACGGAATAGCGTCTTGGTCAGTATAAAAAAAAGTTTCAATATATGTTAGGTGACCCGAGACGGGAATGAGCCGAGTATTTACTGTTTTGAAATTGTATTAGTTTAACAAACTAATGCAGTTAAAGATTGATACGGTGTTAGAGCAATGTTCACGACGGCCAGGTGCCTATTTAAGTAGCCTCTACTAATATGAAATTAGTAGAGGCTAATAATTGGTAATAATCTTTGGTGTAGGTCAGCAGGGTTGCCAGCAGGAATTAGAAGGAGACTTGGGGGGGGGAGGAAGTACTAGCAATTAAACAAACTTATACAAATGACTAAGAGCAGGGCTTTTTAAAGGTGTAACCAAGTTATGAATTTATAAAAATAAATTCACGTATTTTAAATAAAACAAATATCAGATTCGTAATAATAATAATGTTATTAATATGGCCCATACGGGGCAGCTGTTATTTATATCCACTCTAACTCGATCATATATATATGTCTAACCTACGCGTGAAACAACCAAGTGATACCACAGTTGGCTTCGTTCTCAATTCATAATCAGGGATCCCGGGTTTGATTCCCGGGCACGACAGAAGTGGTTAGGCACGTTTCGTTACACCTTTTGCCAATATTCACCTGGCAGTAAAGAGGTACCAAGGAGTTTGGCATTTGTTATGGGGTCGCAAGCCTTGCGGGGAAAGGAAGCCTGGCCCCCGACAAAACGAATTATTATTTGTTTCTCAAATCAAGTCCTGTTTCCAAATCGGTATTTCCCTATGACTTTCCTAAATCTAAACTTGATGAATATACTCAACATAAAACAGAACGCGAAACTCGATACAAATTGGAAGAAGTTTAGATTTAGGAAAGACCTGGACAGATACTGGTTTGGAAAGACCGCTGTTGTTGTTGTTGATAATACCAATTTTTATTCATTGTTTCGTGTTCTGTTGTGTGTTTATATATTTAACACGTTAATGTTGTTCTGTTTTGCGTTTATATATTTAACACATCAATGTACTATTTATTGTACGACTCGGCCGACTCTAAGGTTAGAATACATGACTTTCAATTCACGTTTTTCATAACGTTTTGAAACTTTATGAGAATTTCCTGCCCACCTAATCTATCAGAGGACCCTTAACTTACTGTTGTTGAAAAAAAAATCCCAAATTTATTTTCATTTTTTTTCATTTTCAAATTACGTCCAAATTCGGCCATTCGGGCAAACGGCTAAAATTGACGTTATTTTTAAGGACAGGTTGATCCCTGGTGGGAGGGGTAACTCTAGTAGTATAGACGGGCGCAGTAGAGGTGATCTGTCCGAGGCTGAAATATGATAAAGAGAGAGGTGTTCAGTTACAGCCCCTCTCCTGTGCCAGGTAAGTCCACTACGGGCTCACCATAGCCCGTGCTACTTGGAACTTTTTGTTCTCAGTAGCTGAATCTTAAAACAACAACAAACAAAGAGAGAGGTGTTGCTATCTACGGTACGCAGTATAACTGATGGTGTTAATCCCTACAGAAATATACTGTGGTACGCGGTATAATTAATGGCGTTAACCCTATACAGTTTGCTGCTTAAGGCAGTGTAATTAGTGTTTTATTGTAAAATCTTTCATCTTCAGGTAACTTTGGGTAAATTCCCTAACAAAAATTAAAACACCCAACAAAAGAAATATCCCAAGCACTTAAAAATAAACTGTTATTTTAATAACGTGATATGTATAATAGATCATGCAAATAGCGTTTGTCTTTATTTGTAAACGTCTCAGACTTCCTATAGGCTGCAGGAGAGTTTAAATAGTATTACAAACGGTGAGATAATTGATTATGAATACAGGAACGCAGAGGGGTTGAATAGTGCGTTCTTGTTCTCTTAAACCAGCAATTCACACGAGCATCCGATACATTATCTACGCAGTATGAGAAAACTGAAGTAATTGTCAAAATAAGGTGCTAAGCCATGATGGTTACATAGCACTGACGAGATATATATAAAAGAATCATGATCTTGCATTCATAATTAGGTTACATGACTTGTAATAAGTAAATGAGTATGAGCAGCCTTATTTAATGTTACGTATATGTGTATGATAAAGGAGAAGTGGTTTCGAAATATAATATGAAGATACACGAGACTGGCTACGGTACAGAATTAACGTTGAAATAGAATACAAAGGGCCAGTAGATTAGGTTGAAAACTATGACGAGGACTGGAGAAACAACCCGACCGATTAAAGTGATCCAGTAGCCTGCCGTCCATGTGTGCTCGTTCTCAGGGATCCGCAACATCAGGCTGTCGTAGAGGCTGGCAGAGTCGATGGGCTTCACTTCACATATCCTAGAGGAGTGTCGCGATGTTCCCCTTTGGAACATCTGGTTGACGCCCCCTCCGCCGCTGAAGACCTCCTGAAGGACATGCAGCGAGGCATGCAGGAGGGCGTGTATGGTGCAGAAACACAGCCACGCATCCACAGCCTTCGCCTTGCCGGAGCCAGGGCAAGTGAAGGCCGCAATGAGCCACATCATGAGGAATGCGGCCACAACGAAGCAACTGATGACGAGGCGAGAGGACGTCTTGTGCGGCATCCAGAGGGAGCCAGTGCTGACCATCAGTAGAAGAAAGGACGGCAGGAAGATGGCCAAGACCACATAGGAGGAGTACCGCGCCAGCTGCACCTGCAGCACCACGCCACTGTGAACGCGGCCTCCCAGCTGCACACACCCAGGAGTAAAAAATAACAAGTGTATTAATATCATTAATTAAAATAGGCATCTTATTTAAGATCCCCGATGGTTTAAGTGTGTATGATATCTCTGCTGGATTTTTTTTGTTACAAACAGATGGATACAGAAACATTTCTGATTCCTGTTAGTAGGTTTTTCCTTTCCATAATTCATGGTAAGCCTTACCCTGCTAGTTTCTCCTGGAACATGATCAGTCAATCGGCCAATAAGTACCCAATTACTGCTGGGTGAACAGCGGTGAACAGTTTAAGACTGGTGCTCAGGCATTCCTCCCAAGCTAGGACTCGAGCACTTAGCCTAGCACTAAGACTAGGTACGTAGCCTAGGGTTACCTCGCTAAACCTAACTGACCCACAGAATACAAGCAAACCTACAACACTTGCCTAACTCTCGGGTAACTATTTTACTGCTAGGTCAACAGATGCATAAAGTGAAAGGAAACGTGCCCATCAGTTTGTCTTGCACAGTGATTGAACCCTGGTCCCTCGACTATGAGTCGATGACGAAGACTTCTGTGCTACAGAATCCATGATTATACTCTGGGAGTGAAGCTCTGGAGCCGTGTGCTTGGAATACAGTTAGTGGCAATTAAACTGCTTGTAAACAAATATTGAATGTAAACATTTTATAATGACTGTTAATGGTGGTGCTACAACAGTTGAGAAACGGATTGCATTAATGACAATCAAGAAAATAACCGCTTGTATTGGGGAGGAGAAAGGGGGGCCCATATTAAAAACAAATGTTTGCTCTCTGATAATGTTTGTGCAGTGAGGGTAACTTTTTTTTTATGTTGCGTAATTGGTGAAGGTAGTTCTGAAGTGGTGTAGGTAGTGCCTGGCCTGAGGTCGGGTTGCCTCAAAAGTGTTTTACATTCATGAATAGGGGATTTTGGCAGATGTATTAACGAACATGTGACCTGTGTTTATGAGGACGGGTTGCAGTTCGAGCACTTGTTCAGTAGTTAGAACACCCCCCATAACTATCAGTAATACTAACCTCGACATTTTGGTATTTCAGCGAGGCCTCGACCAGCTCGAAATACGTGAGTCTTGAGAAGCCCGTGTACCTGACGTTGTTCTGACCAATGTGGAGACGGGCGTGGTTCTTGGCGTGGGGCAGCAGCACGAACGGCAGCTCACATACGTGCATGTCAAACGGGTAGAAGCTGAGGTCGAAGTAGCAGTCGATAGGCTGCTGGAGGTAGTGGGTGAGTGTGATGGTGGTGTTGGTGCCGGGGTAGAGCATGTCTGCAAGCATCAAGACAACTGTTAGATTCTGTTTTGGCGGGAAACAGAAATACAAATATAAATTATACACGAGTGAACAGACGAGGAGTCACAGTAACGTGGCTGAAATATGTTGACCAGACCACACACTAGACGACGACGTTTCAGTCCGTCCTAGACCATTCTCAAGTCGATTATCAATATACACGAGTGAGAATAGAGACATGAGAAGACAAAATAAGATCAGGGGAGCAAACACAGGTATAGACAATTAAGAAATCTAAAATTAGAAAACAATAAAGATATGAAATGTGAGATTATTATGGAATACAAAGAAACATAAATAAACAGTTTGCACTTTGCAATTAAAATTAATTGACTTTTAGAACAGAGAGTAATAATGGTTTAAATAATTCACTCGAACAATTCCAACCTTTGTTTCAATCATTCACTATTTTATTCCTAATATAATTCACTCGAAATTAAATGAATAAAACACGTAAACCTCTCAACTAAGAATTGATCTGTAGCATTTCATGACCGCAATTACCAAGACAATTTACTTGATATTCCCGCGTGTAGCTGTCAGCAACCTCGTGATGCTCGAAGCCTTAGTTCAACCTTAATCTTGATAACGCTCAAGCAGTTCATTTCTGCCAACACTTTTGGGTCATTTTTAGGCATAGGCGACCCAACCTCAAGTCTGTTGCCAGGTTTAGCTTTAGGAGGGATAGAGGGAAGGGTTGTAGGATGAGTGCAGTGACCTGCCAGGTAGTGAGCAATACCCTGAGTACTGTGTGAGTACCTAGAGCATGGGTTCGAATCCTCCTCACGGCTGATTTTCATTAAAATTGAAACATCATGAAAACAATGAATCATTGTTTCTTCAATGACACATTACGTTAATGTGATATCGTTGTGCACAGTCAGCTAGTATGATTATGTCAGGTGAACAGGTTCCTAGACGAATAAGAGTGGATGCGTCCATAGCATGGGTCTTACGGGCTCACCATAGCCCGTGCTACATGGACATTTCGTTCTGAGTAGCTAAATCTAAAACAACAACAACATAACATGGGTCGACACGACTGCTCAGGTCAGTCCCGATTCTAAATATGTTAATGTGAATTTATAGTTAAGAATTCCTGAATCTTATGCACTTACTCTGAATCCATTGTTATGGTCTGATTTTATATATATTTTTAAGTATCCCGTTTTATCCTTTGTTAATCTTTTTATTCGTTCAAGTACCAGAGGGAGGGAAGTGTCAGGGGAAAGTGTCAAGCTCTTAAGACTATATAGTACTTGGAAGGGGTCAGGATTTGGGATGGAACGGGGGAAAAGAATGGTGCCCAACTACTTGAACGGTAGGGGATTGAACGCGGACCTGCATGAAGGGAGACCGTCGCTCTACCGTCCAGCCCAAGTGGTCAAGTACCAGAGTCGTTGTCATAAAGGCGCTGATGATAGTATAAAACGCTAATGATAGTGTAGCCGTCGCGCTGTGGTTGGTGTAAGGGAGGTATGGTAATTGTCGGGAGACAGGCTAAGCTAGTATGACTAACATACTAGCTTAGTATGAAGGGATATGATGACAAGTAGCTGGGATATGATGACGGAGTGAAGGAATGTGGCTCAACTGGTTAGATCATGGGGATCGAACGCTGACGCTGAAAGAAGCGAAGCTATCGCTCTACCAACCAATTTTCTATATACATCCCCTTGAACTGACTGGTAAAAACTTCTTGCAGCCTCGGCGTTCGATCCCCGATGGTCCAAATGGATGGACACTGCTCTTTTCAGTTATATTACCGCAGATCTTTTCCGTACTTAGTTATTAGATACAAATCTCTATTATTAATAAATGTAAAAGTCTTTACATTTATAATTATTTTCACTGTGAATAAACTAAGTGGACAATTAAGATTAAACTTCGGCTTTAACTTCTTTACTCAAATTGGCAATCTTTTTATTAAGATTATCGTACGTATTATAACCGAATGTGTCCGGATTTTTCGTCCTTCAATTACCTTTATGTCTGGAAGGCGTGTTTATATATGTATAAGAATCTGTCAGGTTGCCAAACCCATTGTTGAGAAATTGATCATTCGACAAAGTGAATATAGATCACTAGAGGCAGTTATTTATTGATGGTGGGCTCGTCTATTGTGCTTGCTCCAGTTCACCTCTCGTCCTGGACAGTTATAATAATCTATCCATTATGAAATGTCTTACGGGCTCACCATAGCCCGTGCTACATGGACACTTCGTCCTGAGTAGCTTAATCTTTAACAACAACAACATATGAAATGTCAATAATTTCAGTGTCTTGACTAAGTCTGAAGTGTTTCCTCAAGAGTTTCATATTTTTATGCCTTCTCTCTTGAAATCATGAGATGATTTCGGGGCTTAGCGTCCCCGCGGCCCGGTCCTCAACCAGGCCTTTTTTGTTACACAACCCCCAGGAAGCAACCCGTAGCAGCTGTCTAACTCCCGGGTACCTATTTACTGCTAGCTAACAGGGGCATCAGGGTAAAAGAAACATTTTTGCCTATTTGTCTCCGCCTTCACCGGGGATCGAACCCAGAACCTCAGGACTACGAATCTGAAGCGCTGTCCACTCAGCTGTCAGGCGCCTTAAACCCAATATCAAAACGAGAGCGGGAGACTCACTTCAGATCTAAAGACGATAGTGTCATGTTTTCAAGATGTTATAGAAAAATGAGAAACTGAAGGTTTTGTATGTTTACATGTAAATTGCGTCTCTATGAACAATTCAGCGCTAATGATGTACAAACAATTACTGTTACAAAAAATAAATTATACCGAGAAGCATGCTCCCGTGCTCCCAGGCATGCTCCCATACTCAGAGGCATGCACCCGCCCTTAGAGACATGCTCTCATGCTCAGAGGCATGCTTCTGTCCTTAGAGACATGCTCTCATGCTCAGAGGCATGCTTCTGTCCTTAGACATGCTCCCGTGCTCAGAAGCATACTTCCGCCCTTAGGGACATGTTCCCATGCTCACAGGCATGCTTCCACAATTAGAGACATGCTCCCGTGTTCCATCACTAACTATCGATTACTGTTTTTGTGTGAGGTCTCTATGCTTGGATGCAGTAATCCAGACGGCCGCTCACAAGGGATTAAATATAATTATCATACATTCGAAGAATTATGCGAGATAAAGTGGTTTGCTAAAGAGAAGTTGCTGAAACATCGGAACAAAGGACACAGGGGTTGATAGTGCTTTTCTGAACACGTTTAGAAAACTGCCACAAATTGATACGTTGTGTGTACACTGTACTAGAAACCATTAAGATAAGCTTTGTTTCTGGATCAGCGATTGCTGTTAACCATAAGTATAATTATGCATAGCGTGACCCTCCATACATAATTATAATTATGTATAGCGTGACCCTCCATACATAATTATAATTATGTATAGCGTGACCCTCCATACATAATTATAATTATGTATAGCGTGACCCTTCATACTATTGTTGTGTGTCTTTGCAAAGTATAGGAGATGCTGGTGTCTTCATAAAATCTGGCTGTGTTCATATTCTAAACGCCCAACCACGTATGGAGATAAGCTAACTTTGAACAAATATTTGTATTATTTGCGGTGCTTAGTCAGAAGCCTCGTGTGTGCCGCCACATCGCGCAGCCTAACTAGACCCAAACACCGTGTGTACGTCAAACAGGAATATCAGGATTCCATCTAAGAGAACTCATCTGCTTTAATTAAGTTTGAGGATGATCGGAAATGTTTGTTTCCCAGTGTTTCATTGAGTTATGACTCGAAGAAACACTGGGAATCTGATACCTTTAATGTCGCCTGCCTTTTGTTTTTCTTTGTGGCATTCTGAATAGTATCTAGGAACTTGTTAATGTCCTGTGACGGACGATGCTAAAGCGTTCTAAGCTTAGTGCCTTATTTTGATCATTACTTTTACGTTAAAAGTTAAGATATATAATGTAGTCTTCCTTTAAAAAGGATATATTTATATTGTTCGATTCTGCCTCGATCATCTTTATTCATAAAAATGTTGTTGTGTGTACTGTTGAGGAGAATACTGTCTCTTACCATGAGATCATCATACTCTCATCATGTGTGTGGAATAGATCTGTTATTGGTAAGATTCTTTACATTATATTCTCATAATAGATCAAAAACTATTTTTGTGTATAGTGGTAATGGCTTGGTGCTTTCTGCTGATAATTACCTTACCATCATTTCTTTTCCTCTTGCTTTCATTGTCATCTTCTCTGTCACCTCTCTCCCTTTACAATACACCTTTCCCTTAGTGTTGACAAACACCTCTGCTAATGACCAGCTGAGTCAACACTTACGAGTTCATGGCACACACACACACACACACACACACACACACACACACACACACACACACACACACACACACACACACACACACACACACACACACACACACACAAGGGTCTAGGGGTTCACAGCACAAAGAGTATACATCAACCATCATGATGCATCAACGATAAAATCCGTAAGAGCCGTGATGAGAGGTTCAAACCTATGGCTCGGATGGTCCCAGACACCCGCTCTAGACAACCAGGGCCACTACATGGTCAAAAGAATTGCACCCTGTAGGATTTCTGAGGCTTCCACTAAAGCCGAACCAGCCTTTCACACAATCCCCCCCCCCTCCATACACTCTGGCTCTGTCATCTAGGAATGTTGAACCTCTGACGCTCCTCTTAGAGCGTCAGAGGTAGAAAATTCCTACCACAACCTCCATCCACAACTTTAAGGCCAGGTTCAATAAGGACTTTGGACGTAAGAATAGTGAAGCTTTAACTCAATGGAGACAACAAGGGTAGTAGGCGGGGTATGAAAAGCTAGACCTCGCTTCCCCGTAGTTACTGATAAGTAAATACTGATAGGTAAGTACAGGGTCTACACCTGATGTTTAAAAGGTATCAAAAGTCCGAAACGTATAGGGTGTAAAACACACATGAATAGTGGTAGTAAGAACTCTGAT